AAAGAAGGTATTATTTACATAAATTAAAATCCATTCATTTTAGGTGTTCGATTTGATGAATTTTGGAAACTGGAGACTATTGGGCAACCTCCACTATAATCAAAACATAGAACAGTACCTCTCACCTTGCTCCCCATCCTTAAGCTGCCCTGCACGCCTTCTGCAAAAGCTCTCTTTCCCTCCTCTGCCCCAGGCTACCACTGATCTACATTCTGCCACTATCATTTTGCCTTTTAGATCATATAAATGTTTGGCTTCTCTCACTAACATAATGCATTTCAGAATCACCCATGTTTTTGCATTTTTCTGTCAATAGTTCATTTCTTTTTATTGCTGTGCAGTATCCCACAGCATGGAATATACAACAGCCTTCATCCATTCACCAGTTGTTGGATATCTGGGTTGCTTCCAGTTTCCGGGTTATTCCAAATGTTGCTATAAACATTCATGTACACATCATTGTGTGGGCATATGTTTTCATTTCTCTTAGCCAGGCACCTAGGAGTGGCATTGCGGGATCATATGATGTGTATGTTTAACTCTATAAGAAATTGCCCAATGTTTTCTAAAGTGGTTGTCCCACTTTGCATTGCCACCAGCAGCATATAAGCATTCCAGTGCCCCACATCTTTGCTAACACTTGATACTGTCAATCTTCTTAACTTTCACCATTGAAGTTGGTAGCACTATACCTTTAAGATTCCGATCACGTGCGCATCTAGCCTGTTGCTTGTAAATGCTGTGTGGTCCTCCTTGGCGCTCTCCACCATGTCCTAACATCCACCCCCTACCCTCATCGGTGGGTGCTCAGCTTTCCTCTAATTCCCAGCACAACAAAGAAATGAGTGACAGACACTTCATACTTGCCTCTTTGTGATCTGCATGATCACTGCCCTAGGATAGACCTCACGAGTGGAACTACTGGGTCCTAGGGTGTGCATATACTTAATTCAGCCAAGGAGTGCCAAATTACTTTCCCAAAATAACTGGACAGTGTCCATTCATACCAGCTGTGCACTAGAGTATTGTCTCTGCATCCCTGCCAATACATGGGTTATTTCACTTTAAAGATTTCTAATCTATCTAATAAACATAGAGAGATTGTTATTTGTATTTGTGTTTCTTAGATGACTAATGAGTCTGTACATCTTTCATCTTACCTTCCTGTTTGTTTCCTCCTCTGCAAATCCATTCATAGCCCTGAGTATTCTTCTTGTTTATGTGCAGGATTTCCTTGCACATTTTAGATAGCAATGCCAGGTCAATATTACACTTTGCAAGTATCTTCCCCCATTGATTTACTTTGTTCTTGTTGTCTTTTGTTGAACTGAAAATCCTTAGTCAGATTAAACAGTTTTTGCCTTATGATTAGTTCATCTGAAGTTTTAAAGTCTTTCCTCACCCCCAAGTCACAAAAATGTTCTGTCATTATCTTCCATTAGCTTTATGGTTCGACCCTTAGCTTTTAGATCTTTATGCAATTTGGTGTTAAGTACCAGTGTTATACGCATTGGAGTGGTAGGAAAACTGAGGCATGAAGAAGGTAAGTCATGGGGTTAAATAAGTGGCAGAGCTGGAATTCACACCCAGGCAGCCTGGCCTCAAAAACTCTGTTCTTAGCTACTACATCATGCTGCTCTGATTGAGAAGTTGCTGAGTGCAGTCTTTAAATGTCAATCTTTCAACAACCTTGCGCAGTAGGTCCTGTTAGTGCCAGAGGAGGAAACAGACACTCCCAAAAGATAAAGATTCTTCCACCCACAACCAGATCTTTCAGACTCCATCCTCTGTGCTTTTATTTATTTTTAAGTAATCTGTACATCCAACGTGGAGCTTGAACTCACAACCTCAAGACCAAGAGTCTCATGCTCTGCCAAATGAGCCAGCCAGGAGCCCCCACCCCGTGTGCTTTTAAACACTAAACTACAGTCTCCCCTATAGGAACCAGGGATGGTGGACCCTGAAAGATAATGGCTCCCTCCTTCTGTTCTTTGCACAGTATGGATCCCTCTCACTTTTTAGGTCTTCAGCCAAATGCCACCTCCTCCAAGAAGCCCTTGCTGACTACCTGTGGAAAACAGCCTCCCCTCTAATTTTCTAACACAGAACCCTGTTTAGATCCTTCATGGATTACATTTATTATCACATAGAAATCATCACAATTTGCAGTTATTTAGTTGTTAATTTTCTGTAAATCCCCTGAGAGCAGAGTTTATTGCCACTTGACTAATAAACAGTTCAAAACAAAAACTCCCAGCATGTCTCTGCAAATCTCTTCCTTCCAAAATTTTAGTAAATGGCAGCTCCATTTAGTATACGGTTGCTCAGGCCAAAGCATTGAGGTCTCCTTGGCTGTCTTTTCTCTCACATTCTTCATCTGATGTCAGCAGATACTGTCCAACAATCTCTTCAAGCAGATCCAGAATCTGCATCCTTAACTCCCCTGAGAACATCACCTTCACCTCCTGAGCTCTTGAAGTGCAGTCACTTCCACACCAACCTCTTCACCATCTTCCCAATCTTCAGGTGCACCAGTCTGGCTCCTGCCTCAGAGCCTTTGCACTTGTATTTTCTACATGGGGTGCTGCTCCCCAGATGTGCACTTGGCTCTCCTCCCTCCATCCTTTCATTGTTTTGTTTTGTTTTTGTTTTTGTTTTTTAATGTCACCATCTCAGGGCTCTTCCCCAGACCATCCTATTTAAAATAGCAACTCTGGGGGTGCCTGGGTGGCTGAGTTGTTAAGCATCTGCCTTCAGCTGGGGTCATGATCCCGGGGTCCTGGGATCGAGCCCCGCATTGGGCTCCCTGCTCCGCGGGAAGCCTGCTTCTCCCTCTCCCACTCCCCCTGCTGTATTCCTTTAAGATTCCGATCACGTGCGCATCTAGCCTGTTGCTTGTAAAT